GTTGATTCACCAGCCTCAGGAGGAGGAGAGGCGCATCAAGAGACTTGTTGACATCACCGGCAAGTACAGTCCTGTCCAGGGGCGTGGCGCCACGATGGACAACTGGCAAAAGAAGTGGCACCAGGGTGTGTTGGCGGTCCAGGGGTTGCAGCCCCGCGACAAGTACTATGCGTTGATGCGTGCGTTGGAAGGAGACGCGAACGGCGTGTTCTTCCAAGAGCAGGCCCGCATCCCCATCCCGGGGAACGCTCCCAACATTCAGAACTTGGCAGCGAACGACCCCTATTTCGACAATGTTGTCGATCGCGACCTCGAGAAACTCATCGAGCAGTATGGCATCAGTGACTCGTTCGCTCTGGCTCAGGAGGCCGTTGTGAAGGAGCCGAGACAGCTGCTGGAGAAGCACCCGAATGCCAGCATGCAGGAGTTGGTGTCGCTCCTCAAGAAGAGCATCGCAGCGGCTGAGCACCTGAACCAATACACAGAGAGACAGAAGGCTGATATGATTATCGGCCTACTGCCCGAGAACATGCAGCACATGGCAAAGCACTCATTGCAGGAGAGTCTTCGCCTGGCTCAGGGCTATGCCAGGGCTCAGAACCAGAATGTGCCCAATGCTGACCAATTCTACAACATGGAAGCGGCTGAGAGGATGGTCGTTGACATGGAGCGTACTCATGGTGTCGTACCGGCCACCAGCGCCTCGTTGAGTGTGGGGCCGAGCTATCCAAGTGATCTGCTGGCTCTGCGCAACTCGACAGCTCAGTTGTTTCCCCAGGTGCCCGGCATGCAGACGTCAGGCATGTCGGTGTCTCGCACTCAAACGCGTGAGCCTCCTCGGTCGCTCAATGAGGTAGCTCTCGCGAGGCAAGTGGACTCCACGCCGACTCGTACCGAGAGGAAGGACGAGAAGGCTTCGGCCGAGGTCATGACAGACCTGGTGAAGGCTGTAGGGTCGAGTTTCAGCACCGCTCTCGCACCGTTGAATGAGACCATGCAGCGCGTCCAGAAGGAGCTGCAACGTGGCAGTGCAGACACGCGTCGCCCGACGGGTGGTCGTGTCTCAGCTCTGGCTGACGTCGATCATGGTGTTGAGGAGTCGGGCGGGTATCCGACGTATCCTGCCGACGACACGATAGACCAGGAAACGTTCCACTCGGTGTTCAATGCGTTGTCGAGCACGTTGCCGGCCGATCAGGCTGCCAAGTTCGCTGTGGAAACGGCACGGTCGACTCGGATGCCTGAGCGCATGCGCAACAACACGGCAACTTCACAGAGCAATCAGTGGTACTCGAACCGACGTGACCGTGACCTGGGCGGCCAGCGCTCGGGATCGCGCGGCTTTACCGGATGTCATTGCTGTGGTGGCGATCACTTCCAGCGTGATTGCCCGGTTGTCTGCCCGTGGTGCAATGTCAAAGGTGACCATTTGCCTGCCAGGTGTGAGTCGCCTGCCAAGAGACAGTTTGACCAGTTCATGGCTCACGTGAATTCGCAGAGTCGTCAGTCCTCCGCGTCTCAGGGGTCGATGAACCACCCGAACCAACCTAACTCACACACCAATACTCAGACCAACCAGGGAAACTGATTGGCCCCAGGGAGCGGGATCATCCTGCTCTGCCTGGGGCTCGTCGGCTTCCTTTGCATACGACTTTGATTTCGTCGCCGTCTGGTCGTGTTTTGGCGACCGATGGTACCGATGTTTATGAAGTGCGTGGGGTCATTCCGACGATTCCGAATGACTCTGAGAGAGAAGTGGTTGTTCCGTTCATCGTACCGTCGACTCGTGCAGACGGTGCTTGCACAGTGAGTGCCTCTGCGGGTCCTCGAGTTCGTTATCAGGCTCATGATGCGATGGCGCCAACAGACTTGATGACGAAAGTGCAAGAGAATGTGACGTATCGTGATGTGCTGACCGGAGGTCGTGATTCTCCTCCTGTCCGCATGCCTGTGATGCAAGCGCTGCATCATGTCCTCACTCCACCAGGAGGGCAGGTCGTGATGATGCGTCGTGTCCTGCGTTCTACGTACCAGCTGAATTTTTCTCCATGTGGTCATCCGTACTATCGGGTGAACAATGACTCCATACCTGAGGGCATGGTGTCTCGAGAGGTTCGTCATGATGGGTCGATGATTCAATACGACTGTGCCGAGGGCTCGCTGAAGGCGGTGCCTGGGCGTCGTCCGACTCGTCAACTGGACCGGTCTTTTCTGCCGACGAGAGGATTGACTGGTTTGCGTTCGCACGTCTCTGACACAGAGGGCGGCGAGTGGGACAACTCACGTGACTCAACTCCTGATGGTCGCCTTGAGTGGATGTCGGAGGGGGACGCGCGAGTGTGTGCTCGTCCGGCCTTGTTTACACATCGTCAGCGTCAGATGGCGCGTGACAAGAGAGCGAAACGTCTCCGTAAGCAGTTGGGTATGGGAGAGCTGAGTGTCGAGCAAGTCGAGTCGGGTGTGGCTCGTCTTGAGTTGATGGAGACGGCATTTGTATCGCGTGTCAATCCGGTTGCTGAGTTGAAGGCTATTGCGTTGCCGACTTGGTCGTACACGTACCATCCGAGTGTCCAGGCTCGTTGTCGTGTGCGCCATCGTAAGATCCCTGCGTCGATCCGTTGGCCTGGTTGTCAGCCACCCAGGTCGAAGCAGGATTCTGTCGAGTTTCATGATCCGAGGGAGGATGAGACACAGCCTCTGCCTCCGTCATCGAAGATCAAGAGGCCACGTAAGTGGCATGGGCGTAAGAAGCAGGAGGAGAGAGTGACTTCTGTTGCCGGCGGGGAGTCTCCCTCTTCGTTTTCTTCCGTGCGTCCTGTACCAAAGAAACAGTCATATAGGCAGACACCGCAGGAATCGTGGTGGTCTTCATCGCTCACCATGCTTCTCGAGGTGTCGCCTTGGGAAGAGCTCCATCTTCCACCGAATGGATTGGAAGACAGAGCAACTTCGATTCCTTAAGCGACTTCAAGGGTGGAAGGGTCGGCGGCCGAAAGAGAAGAAGGCTGATGCCGATCGACTCAAACCTCCTTCGTATAGTAGCCTTGACGAAGGGCGTCTCATTGATGAGTTCGTTCGTCGGGGCTATGAAGACTTCAAGGAAGAATCGGTTGGTGTTATGCGTACAGGATTCATCCTGACCACTCTTTTTGCGGTCTTGATGGTGTCTTTGTGGGCAGCCAGCTGGTCGAGTTTCGCGTACGTGTTGGACTCATGGCTTTGGTGGGTTCATCCATTGTTAGCAGTGGTGGCGTACTTCGGTACGCGGCGCCAAGGGTGGATGAGCGAGTGTCTTTCTCCTCGAATAAAGGCAGGAGCTGAGGCGACATTTCGTGTCTCCTCCACCTTGCTTTTCATCCCGACGCTCCTCAGACCGTTGTTGCACGTGTTGTGGACTCCAGTCTTCGCTGCGGCGGTGCTGGGGCTGATCTTCTTTTCGTTGATGGCCTTTGTTGGCTGGATGCGAGTGATGATCCTGAATGCAGCCTTAGTAAGAGCGATACAAGGCGTGCCGTCTAATAGGCCTGCCTGGCTTGTTGCGCTTACTGGAGGAAACTATCGATTCATGTTGCCCATCCGAGTTGTGGGAGGCAAACAGATGCGCTCCGTGTTGGCTCATTCGTTGGTCGACACGGGGGCTGACAACATTTACATATCGGCATCGCTGTATCGAGCGCTGCGTCGTGCTGGTGCAGTCGGACCGATGGTACCTGTGCGTAAGCGTTTGAGGGCCGAGGGAGGCCAGGACCTTCGTGTCGAAGGGGGAGCTCAATTTCGATTGCGCCCTCCTCAAAAGCCTCGACCGGGAGAGTCCACGGTCCCTTCTATCACCTTTGACCTTACGGTCGTGTCGAACATGACCACTGACATGATCTTGGGTGGTGACTTCTTGTATTGTTAGGGGCAGTCGATGCACTTTCCAACGATGCAGCTGGACTTGATTGACTGGCCGCCGTTGAAGATGTATTTCGCCAAGGAACGAGCGCCGGACACTCATGGTTCTGCTGCTCATTCCGTCCTTCGTGGGTTGTCCAAGAGACAGAGTGGTTCTCGAGTCCATGTCTCCTCTGCTGCGAGTCCTGAGCAGGGCGAGACCGAAAGCCACGTTGCGTCTGTCGAAATGGACGACGGGAAGCCGGTTGCTGCACGGACGAGAGCGAAAGCCAAGTCCTCACCAGCCCGCAAACCCGACAAGCAAGATGATAGGGTCGAGGATGCAACAGCCGCACAAGGTGAGCAGGATCTCGACGAAGATGAGATCGATCGAGCCTTTCGTGAGCTCGATGAAGACGAGCAGAAGCGGAAAGCCAAAGCGTCGTCTGATGGTCAGAAGAAGAGGCGCGGGAAGCCGAAACCCAAGCCTCGTGTGCGATTGAAGAGGACTGACCCTGTCTTTGCGACAGTGGCCAAGTCGACAATCCCGGCATGGAGCTTGATGGTTGTTGAGCTTTGCCTTGATGATTCAGAGCATGATGACGGGCAGGAGGGCATGTTGAGTCCCCTGCCTGGTCTTCCACATCGTTTGGGTCTTCCTCATTGCTTGGTGAAGACTCGCCGAGCGACTGATAAGGAGACAGGCAAGGAGTACACGTCAGTGTCTCTTCCTGTCGCCAACTTCTCTCGCGCGCCGTATACCTTGGTAAAGGGTCTGCGTGTGGCACGTTTCTCTCCTGGAAAACTCCAGGTGGGTGAGAATGTAGCACCGATGATGGACGAAGTGACGTTTCGAGTGAGGGATGCTGCCTTATTGAGGGGCGCGGACCTCCCGTCGAACGCCACGATTCAAGTCGATCCATCGATCGCTCCTGATGAACAAGGGAACGATGTCGTCCGTGTTGAGTACACCACACTCTCTCACATGCGCTTGATGTGCGGTCAGGAAGGTGTGCCAGCGCCAAGTCATGTGGTGGCTGCAGTGTCTCAACGTCAACACGAAGAGACAGAGAGGAAAGAGTGGGTTGGCTCAGTGCACATGAGCTTCCCCGCCAAAGGTGATCCTGATGAGGATGATGACATGGCTGTTTCAAGGTAAATGGCTGGCAGTGACCATCTATTAGCTCCTGATCCAAAGGAGATCGACGAAGATGCGCCGATCATTGAGGATGACGATGAGTTTGACTCACCAGATGAGATCCCTGAAGAGTATCAGAGGAATGAGGAAGGGCTGTATATCCATCCTGGGCCTGACCCGAAGGAGACACCGCCTGATCCTCCATCTAATGAGACATACACAGATGCGCGTGATTGTCCCCACTTCTCCGAGAAAGGGGCGAAGCGATACCAAGAAGAGGATCTGTCTCACGTGGACAGAATTCAAATCCCCGTGTATCCTGACGATCCATACGGACAGACCAAAGCATAGGCTGAGGTCATGCACAGTATCGTGTGTGAATACGCTGGGTGCTTCTCTAGCGATACTGACCCGTATGGGCGTGGCAACCTTGCGTATCATTACATCGATGTGACAGGCCCTCCGCCTCGAGAGCCTGCTCGCGTTCGACGTGATCCAGAGAAGGCTGACTTTGAGAAGTGGCAAGTCAAAGAGTTCCTTGACTTGGGTTTGGTGCGACCGTCCAGCTTTCCGTATTGCGCTCCAGTAGTGCTTGCGAAGAAGAAGGATGAGTCGTGGCGATTCTGTTTAGATTATCGTCCGCTGAACGAGATCACAGTGGCCGATAAGTATCCGTTGCCTCGCATTGATGACACTCTCGATGCATTGGCGGGCAACGTGCATTTCTGTTGCTTGGACCTGGTCAAGGGTTTCCATCAGATTCCTATGGCAGAGAGAGACATACCAAAGACAGCCTTTGCAGTGGCTGGCATGGGCCAGTTCGAGTATCTGTACCTGCTTATGGGTTTGAAGAACTCGGTGGCTACTTGTCAGCGCTTCATGGAGGTGTGTCTCGCTGGTCTTCAATGGCAGACATGCCTGGTATACCTTGATGACGTGTGTGTGATAGCACGCACGCATGATGAGTTGTGCACCCGTCTGCGTGAGGTCCTGGATCGTGTCAAGTTAGCTGGGATTAAGTTCCAGCCAAAGAAGTGCATTCTGGGCACGCGACGGATGGAATATCTTAGACACATGCTCAGTGCGAAAGGTCTTGAGCCTGTCGCATCAAAGATACAGGCAGTCAAGGACTGGAAGCTGCCGAAGACACAGAAGGAGCTTCATACCTTCTATGGTCTTTGCTCGTATTACCGCCGCTTTGTGCCGAATTTTGCAACAATCGCTGCTCCCTTGAGCGCGGCACTCAGCACTAAAGCGCCAAAGACATTCGAATGGACTCCTGAGATGAAGGAGGCGTTCTGAAAGCTCAAGAAGGCATTGTGTGCCCTCCGATCCTCGCTATGTCTGACTTCAGTCGTACCTTTATCGTGAAGTGCGATGCAAGTGGTGTCGGCGTTGGAGCTGTCCTCGTGCAGGAAGACGACGACGGCCATGAGCATCCAATTGGATACATCTCAGAGAAGCTTGACGCAACGCGTCAAGCTACGCGTCAAGCTTGGTGGCCTACACACAAGAGGCCTATGCGTTGTATTGGTCTTGCAAAACGTTCCGTCCGTACCTGGAGGGACGTCACTTCATCGTCAAGACGGATCACTCTGCACTTCAGTGGATCCGCTCACAACGAGACAGAAACCGGATGATCCAGAATTGAAGCTTGTTGCTTCAAGACATGGATTTCTCTGTGAGACATAAGCAAGGGTCGATGCACCGTGATGCTGACGCGCTCTCGCGCAAGCATCATGGTCGCTTCGCCAATATCAGTGCACTCATTGGTGCGTCTTTTTGGGATGCATACAGTGCAGTGGCTGGCCTTGATGAAAATGATCCTTTTCCAGATCCGGTTGATGAGTCAGCGGATGTGGCTGACCCGTTGGAAGGCGAGCCGACAATGTTGTGGCCGTCGGATGAGGAGGTCTCTCGCATGCAGCAGGAGGACCCCTTCATCGGGCAGATTTATCGATTCTTGGTGCATGATGAAGAGCCGACTGATGCAGCTGTGTCTCGCATGGTGCACTCGAAAACGAACGAGTTCCTCGTTGATAAAGGGAAGGTATATAGAGTCTTCCATGAGCCGACGCAGTCGTTGGTTCCGTGCTTGATCGTGCCTCCTCCCCTCGTCGATAAGGTGCTCTATGAGTGCCATGGACACTGCTTTGCCGGTCATCTTGGTTACGAGAGGACGAAGCGCCGTCTCGCCAATCGGTACTGGTGGCCGAATATGTTGAAGACTGTGCACGAGTGGATTCGCGATTGTCCCGTGTGCCGTGCTGCGAAGCAGCGCAAGACCACACACTGGCCGATGCGACCCATCCGTGTCAGCAGAGCCTTTGAGTTGGTTGGAATGGATGTCGAAGGACCTGTGACGACGTCACACAAGGGGAATACGTATCTTGTCGTCTTGGTCGACTACTTGACCAGATGGCCAGAGGTTTACCCAGTGAGCGACACCACTGCGTCCACCATCTCGGAATGCGTGGCGAAGTTCATTGCTGACCACGGTGTCCCAGACGCCATTCTGACAGACAGAGGACCGAATATGATGTCGAGTGAGTTCCAACGTGTGTGTGGTATCTTCCACGCGCATCGGATATTCACCTCATCATATCATCCGCAGACTGATGGCCTTGTTGAGCGTTTCAATCAGACCATCATTAGGCAGCTGAAACGTATGATTGCGCGGAAAGGAAGGAGTTGGGAGAAATTTCTTCCTTACGCCTTGTTTGCTTACCGTGTCACTGCTCATCAAGTGACGGGAAAGACACCATTTGAGATGCTGTACCAGCAAGCGCCAAGGCTCCCTGGTGAGTCTGCGTTAGTTGGTTTGAGCATGGGTCCTGGTGTCGAACCAGAAAAGTATCTCGAAGTGCTGAGACAGGGCTTGGAGGTCATCCAGGATGACGCGCGTGCAGCGATGGATAAGCGCCGTGCGAAGTTCGAGGCTGACCAGGAAGCCAAGAAAGCAGGTTTGCCGAAGTATGAGGAAGGGCAGCTTGTCCGTCTTCATGTCGCCAATCCACCGAAAGGCACGAGTTCCAAGTGGCATTTGCCGTGGCGCTCGATGTTTCGTGTCATTGAATCGTTCAACGACGGCCTGAATTACCGAATTCAGCCACTCGGAGGTCGTGGTGCGATGACTGTTCATGTCACTCGATTGGAGCCTGCCTTTCGCAGTCGTTGGTTGATTGAGATGAAGGATCGCTCAGGTCGCTTCAGAACAGAGACAGTGACCGACAAGCCTGAGCCACGAACAAACATCGTTGCTGAGGATGAGGAATCAGAACCTTGGGAGGTGCAGTACATACTTGATGTGCGAAAGCGCGGAAAGGAGCTCACCGCCAAGTTCGATTTCCTCGTCAAGTGGAATCTATTGCCTGAAAGCCAAGCAGAATGGATTCCAGAGGAACAACTCGATTGTCCACACTTGGTCAATGAGTTCATGATGAAGAAGCGTACCGTTGATGCCAACAGGGCGTCGAAGAAGTATGAGAAAGTGAAGAGAGCTGGTGTGCAGCCGAAGGACCATATGGATTGGGTGCCTGACTCAATCCCATTGCCTCGGACAGTGACGGGCCAAAAGCAAGACAGTGTGCCTGCCTGGCTTGACATCAAAGAGGGTCAAATCCTTCATCTGTATTACCTGCCAAGCAAAGGGCTTCGTTATTGGGTGTCAATTGAGAAGAAGACACCTGAGAAGATAGAAGTGCTCTTCTTGCCGAAGAGCTCCAAGGTAGAAGTGGCTGATGGTGTCTATCAGAGCCCTGTGAACAAAGTAGCCGAGTTCTCACGAAAGGAACTTGAGAATTTCTACTCGTGGGACCTCGTGCCATCTACCTTTCGTAAACCAGAGTCGAGTCGTCAGCCGCGCAGACGGACTGGATAAGTTTGTTGGCAGCGGGGACGTGCCAGCTTATTGAGGGGCGAGCTGTGGCGACGCTCGTGGCTTGTATGAACACAGACCACTTGGCCGCTCACAGAATGCCTGACAGCAGCAGAGACACAAGGAGAGAGACGTATCAGATTGGTCTGTATGCGTGCCCTCACTGTGTGTCGTCACGTTGATTTGTATGTATGTGTCGGACACATGCATGCTGATTGATGAATGGTTCGTCGTTTGTGATGGGCGACTTGATGGTTGCGCATGATGCGGTCATCGATTGATGGATCCATTCATTGCAAGTTCGCATCGCATACACACACGTGTCTACGTTTGTGTGTGTGTCTATCGGGTACAACGTCTGACGCACAGAAAGGATCAGAATGAGAGAGATGTGTGAATGTCTTCGCGTATGTGCGAGG